TGCCTTGTAGGGGTTGGTGGTTTTATTGAGTGCCAGAACACCCTGCCCTTAGATCTCAATATCTTCCATGACTGGGCAGGCTCTTTTCATCATGTTGGTCTTCAGAAGGAATTCAACCTCTGAGTACTCTATACCATCACTAAAGTCTGACTGGAACTGTTGACTGATTACGTCTGCCTGTTCTTTGGGTTCAGACGTCAACTTACCTTCCCATCTCAGGGGGGAGTCCCCGGTGTTTGATGACCTTTGATGCTTGACGTAGCTCCAGAACCACTTGTTCTTGACACCCTTGGTCGGAGTATCTTCCTCTGAGACGATGCCGTTCAGGTAGTTCCAATAAGATCTACGCAGTAAGCGTTGGATGGTTTTCGGAGCCTCAGAATTTCGGCTTACAGTTCGACCGAGCAACTCTTCTTCATTCGTTTGTACTAGCAGTCTCTCCTCTGTATGAGCCTTCGGATTTCAGCCATAACCCATGTTTGATTTGTCTTAGGATTGGTGGTCTTGTGTGGTATGAATTTCTGTACTGCATCAGTGATTGTTGTCTTAAACTTCACCCAAGCTCTTCCGTTGTCGCTGTACCCAGAATCTCCTGCATGTTTGAGCTCGGCTCTGTCGTTGCACTCCTCAGGCCATCCCAGTCTGTCTTGGCATAAATTGGCATGTCTAGCACCGCCTGCTTCTTTATTAGTGCGCTGCCCTGAAATTCGCAATGCGGTGTGCAGTGGTGTGATATCCCGGGGATGACCTCAACAATGCCGCACATCCACATCAAGAAAAAGTGACACCTGAGTGAACAACCTCACCCACCCCTATCTACGCCACTGGCAGGGGCGTAACTATAGCGTTTGGCGTCAAGGGACATCATTTATTTTTACGCCACCCCCCCCTCTCAACTCTGACACTAATTATTTTCAAAGATTGAATACCACTAAAGCCCATATTGGTACCCCGCTAGTCTTCACCACGGGGACGTATGTCCCATCTGGCAGCCCTTAGCTACGCCTGTGGCCACTGGCAAATGGCCCTCCCCCCTCCACGAAAATCTGAAATGCCCCAGTGGAAATGTCTGAAAGAAACACTGCAAAAGGTGGCAACACAAAAAAGTAAATAACTCATACATTTATGTTTGATGTGCATGTTGGGGTGGTGTTACATTCTAGCAAGATGTGTTTACTACATCAAGATATATAACGTTTGATAGTACAGCCTGATTTCATTACTAACAAGAGTCTTTCAAGAACTAGTTCATACAAACTGCCTGTTTGACATTTTTCTGCCTGTCATATGTCACATATGGTCCTTAACGTGTTTGTGGCTACCATTTGGTCATTACCTCAGTATTACCAGGTCTCACATTTTTACCTGTTTTTTTTTTAATCTTCGTATTTTAAGAGCTCAAAAATAAGATTTTTTACCCCTTTAACTTAATTTTTGTACTGAAGATCTGCCATCTTTTGATTTTTTAAAAAGTATATGTTAACTATTTTGGTAACTCTTCCAAACCCACCCCCCACCCCCAAAAAAAACCCCAACAACTGGCAATAAATTTTGGTCACGCTGCATGCAATCTCGTCAGTTTACTTTGCACAAAAAAAGTCAGGGAAAAAAGCCAATCAGGACAGCCTATCAGTGCAGCACACCAATGTGGTCAATCAGTGCAGCACACCAATGTGGTCAATCAGTGCAGCACACCAATGTGGTCAATCAGTGCAGCACACCAATGTGGTCAATCAGTGCAGCACACCAATGTGGTCAATCAGTGCAGCACACCAATGTGGTCAATCAGTGCAGCACACCAATTCGGCCAATCTGTGCAGCACATCAATTTGGCCAATCAGTGCAGCACACCAATGTGGTCAATCAGTGCAGCACACCAATGTGGTCAATCAGTGCAGCACACCAATTCGGCCAATCTGTGCAGCACATCAATTTGGCCAATCAGTGCAGCACACCAATGTGGTCAATCAGTGCAGCACACCAATGTGGTCAATCAGTGCAGCACACCAATTCGGCCAATCTGTGCAGCACATCAATTTGGCCAATCAGTGCAGCACATTAATGAGGCCAATCAATGAAGCCAATCAGTGCAGCAAATCAGTGCAGCCAATCAGTGCAGCCAATCAGTGTAGCCAATCAGTGCAGCCAATCAGTGCAGCCAATCAGAGCAGCCAATCAGAGCAGCCAATCAGAGCAGCCAATCAGAGCAGCCAATCAGTGAAGCCAATCAGTGTAGTCAATCATTGCAACCAATCCGTGCAGCCAATCAGTGCAGCCAATCAGTGCAGCCAATCAGTGCAGCCACTCGGTGGCACCAAAAAGCCATGCCAGAAAAGCTATTTGAAAAATTACAAAAAAGAAAAAGAACATTCTGTCTATTTGACGACAGCTGGTAGTGCAGCGATAGCAAACTGGCAAGGCATTCAATTCTCCCTTTTCCTCCTGAGTTATCTTAATATGGCCGGACAAGGCAATGCGCTCAACCGTTGTTTCTTGGACATGGCCTTTGTCTGTCCCCCTTTCTTTGGATTTATTTTCTCGCTGAAATATATAAAAAATATTTTTGCAAATTACTACCATTCTTGAGTGATGACATTCACAAACAACAAATTATTTGGTCAATACCATTATTATATAATCTGGGTTCTCAAATTGGGACGTGTGGATCTGACCATTTCGCCATAAGCTATGAATAAGCTATCTTCTCAATAAATAAGGTAACGCACATTTCATAGCGTAGTGACTTTAATGCACATTGATAGACAAATATCTAAGCTTGAAAAAGTTTCATTGAAATATGTCGAATCCTATGTCAAATGCTATGTCTAATCTAATGTCTAATCCTATGTCTAATCCAACGTCTATCAGTTTTAAAACTATTTCAAAGTTTGTCGGGTTATATCAGTTGTCTGCAGCCTGTGGCCCAGGAGCCCCATGCGCAAAATTTCAATGAATAAATGCGACTCTCTACATGTTTAAATATTCAATTTGTTCACTAACCAAGCCAAAAAAACAATCCTTCCCTGCCTGCCAATAAGAAAATCCTTCCCTGCCTGCCAATCACAAATCCTCCCACACTTGTCATTCTGTTACCAGATATAATTTACACAGTGGCTTTTTACTCGAAACAAGTTGTTGACGCCAAGATCAGGTGACTCGATGTAGGCCTACCTCCGATACACGCTACGTGGGGACAGGACACTGATTACCGAATTTAATTAAATTATCTCCCTTACATCGGTTTCTGCGTGGAATTTATTGACGACGTAAAGTGTTGCCAAGATGGCGCCAAGACTTTGAAGCATGACCTCGGACAGAAGCAGAGCCAAGTAGGGCATGCTGGACAGGCTGCGAGGCATAACGTCACTGAAAACATAACAAAATAGAAGACATAGAAAACAGCAATGGTTAGCAAACATAGACAATATAGCAAACATAGAAAACATGGCAAACATATAAAACATAGAAAACATAGAAAATATAGCAAACATAGAAAACAGAAAACACGATAGCATTGTCAAAGCTTTAGAATTAATTCATGTGATTAATGCATAATGGTATTTTGGGGTCATTGAATATCTGGATCTATATTTTTAATCATACTTATACTTATCTAACGTGTGATACTGGTGTACGAGCGAAAGATCAATTTTTAGGCTTTTGAAAGGAAATCGATCTCAATATTGACTAAAAAGACTTTTATATGAAAACGTGATAAACGTTTAAATGTGATCAAGTGTAGATTTTTCGGAGTGAGTGTTGGTGAGGCTTGGTGCAAAGCTTTTTCAAGCTTGAATGAGCCGCCGTAATGAGCCACTTGAATCAGCCACTTGAATGAGCAACTCGAATGTGAAACTTAAATGAGCCATATGAATGAGCCACATGAATGAGCCACTTGAATGAGCCACTTGAGTGAGCCACTTGATTAAGCCATTTGAATTATCCACTTGAATGAGCCACTTGAATGAGCCACTTGAATGAGCAACTTGAATGAGCCACTTGAATGAGCCACTTGAATGAGCTACTTGAATGAGCCACTTGAATTAGCCATTAATGACAACTTGAATGAACCATTTGAATGAGAGCTAAAAAGATTTATTCTTGTAAGAAGTTTTACAAGTTAACTTTTATTTATTTTAGAAAGAAATGTCTGTCTGAATCAGGAGAAGAAAAAAAACAACTTAGTTAGCTCCAAAGTCACAAAAGGAATGTCGTAATGGCATGGAAACAGCTTGACTGCTTAGATACACCTGGCAAAATGTTATGAGCAAGTTTTACGACCCCAGACGTCACAGTTGGCGATTTTTTGTGCTTCAGACACTCAATAAAACATTCATATTTATAGATGGGGATCTGTCTTGTTTTGAATTTTTGTGTGTATTAACACTTGGTTGGGACAGAACCAAACAATTTGAAAAACTACTTCAACACAAAGTCTTCTCATCGCTCATTGTAATTCAATCCCAGATGGATCGAGCTGACCTTTGGTCAGTTGGTCAGTTTTAACATTTACACACAAAAAATAACGAAGAACTCATTTTGGGCACGATTCAAGACCTGCAAACCATGATTTACTTTGTTTATTACTTTTCAACCGTTTTGTCTGAAATCTGCATGATGGTTGTATAAAGTGCTACACGAAGACATGTGATGAGATGAAAAGACTTGGGTGATGAAGTTTTCCATAGAGCCAAGAGAAGGAAGGGAATGTATGGAGGTGCTGGACGCTGTGTAGTTTTCTTAGAAGTCTCATGCGTGGCATGTCACGTGGGTGAAAGTTGCACGTTAAACCAGGGCTGCCATATCTTGGGAATTTTCCCAAGATCTTGGGAATTCACTACCCCATTCAGGACAAAAACTCACTTTTTTTTTTTTAAATCCCAAGATTTTTTAAACAAAACTCTTATATATTTTCATGATCTTGGGAAATCTTGGGAAATATTTTGACAAAATCTTGGGAATTTTTAAAGAATTGAATGGTAGCCCTGCGTTAAACTATCCTAACAACACGATAGATACCTTATGAAGTTCAGGAAAATGGCCGATGAAGTAAAGAGTGCAACAAGGTATGAAATCTTTTCACCCGTTTCTGGGGGTATCAAGAACACTAAAGGTATCATAGATGACGTCAGGATCAGCGGAAAAATGATGGTTATGACGTAATATGTGGATCGGCGTTTGACCTTGAAAGTATAACGGGGGTGAAGAATCCGGCTGGCGTCCGTGATGATGTCGGACCGGAAGTCTTGTGAAACCCACTCTCCAGCTAATTTGAACGGTGTGATGTAAGAGTCAATGCTGGAGTTCCACTGCTCGATGGTTATAACAGGTTGCCTTTCCCTGTCGTAATTCGTAAAAATAAGTCCAAAGCTACACTGTTGGCTGTCAAATGGATATTTATTAAAAATAATTTCACACCGAAAGTTCACGTAGTCTTCAATTCTGCTACTTATTTTGCCATCGAACGAGAGATCGATATTTTCTGCGATGGACAAGTGCATACCGGCCCGGTCAGCAAAAGCTACGCTGATAACTGGTGTCCACATGAATTTCGACTCTAACTGGACCATCTCTATGCCAAGGTACTCCGATGGGTTCCAAGACAGATGTGTATCTTTCCAGATCATTTCGATGAAAACAATCACAGTCATGTACTGAAAGAAATTAAAACAATTCTGATCGATTTTTTAATTGATATAATGCTCAGACAGAAAAGAAAGGAAAATTCAAAATAAATTATTTAAAAAAAAAAAAATGATTTGAATGTTCAGAATAATGTAATGGAGATGACTTGAACATTCTTGACTTTTACTTGTGGAGATGACTTGAACATTCTTGACTTTTACTTGTGGAGATGACTTGAACATTCTTGACTTTTACTTGTGGAGATGACTTGAACATTCTTGACTTTTACTTGTCAAATGCTTTACTCACTTTAATATAGAGAGGGAATATTCTTGTTATGTAAGAAAACTTTGAATGTCCAGGATACCACCTGGAATTATTTTCATAAATGCGAACATGAAAGTAAAGGATATTTTGGTGAAATGCGAAATATTATTTTTTTTAAAAAGTAAGAACTTTGATCTAAAATGTCTGCTTTTAGATCCAAAATGTCTCCTTCTTTAATTACCAATTTGCTATATTCTCCGATACATTTGTCTCTGTATGCCATCAGTTATTTTTTTATTTTTGTACTCACAAACCCCTCCGGTATGAACTTATTTTAGTCGACCCCTTCCCCAAAAAAATATATTAATACAATAAAAATCCATTCGACAATGTCCACTAATCTGTAAACGCCGGCTTTGAAAAAACTGCTTCAAATGGACATCTAAGAGATGGGTCTCTCTTCAGCCTAGGATAACATTATCACATCAATAACATATTACCTGATTGATATCATCAATATCCAAGATATCTATAAGATACAAAGTGTAGTGCAGTGAGAAGTCTCCACCTGGGGTGGACATTAACGGCGACATTTTATGCACAAATACGTCACGGCTCATGATTTCCTGGCGTAGGTTTGCATACGTTGAAATCCTTGAAATGTTGCTGGAGTTTGTTGGTTGGAAAAATACCACCATTATTACAATGGTGCTAACTATTTGAAATAGCATCCTTTAAAAGAAAACAAAAAACTTTCGTCTAGAACCTGGAGGGTCAAGGACTCGTGTCTGTTCAAGCAAAAATCTTTTAACCACAAAAATGGGGTTCGATTTTTTTTTAAATATCCAAATTATTAAAAACGAATCAAAATTTCCAGCAGTTATCAATACTGAATTAAATGACAACGTCGGTTCTTTCTGTCTGCTGTCACAATGAAATCTGGCAAGGATGAAAGGGTGTTTGTTAACTGTGCATTTGTTTGATTACTTTCTCGGCAAACACGAGTCCACTTGGAAACAGTTCAAATGAAATATGCAGATCAATACAGCTTTGAATTTGATAATTGCTTTGTTAATGGTTCCACGTGCATTGAAGAGGTTAATGTAAAAATATTAACATATGTAAATAAGTTTATGTCGGATATTAACGGTATTGGAAGTGTTAGTATAACAACATGATCGTTAACTAATGTGGTTGTTTAAAAAATCAATATACTTTTATCGATTCTTGTATTCACCAGTAAATACAAATAATGATTGAGAGATTTAATGTAATACTGACTAGTGGCTGGCTACTGTAGCCACAAATGCTGTATAGTTTAAGTTAGCGCTCATGGCACTTAAATTTGACCTTCTTGGAAGCCCCTAGGCGTCACTAGGGCTGTGTCAGTCGATGCAGTAAGCACCTCAACACCCGCCCCCTGGTCACACCACTGTGGTAGTCTACTTCGAAGTTCAAACATCGTAAATTCGCTATATGTTCTGAATGACACAAACGTTCATCGTAACGTATCTAATATTTTTATGGTAGAAGTCTTTTTTAAAAAGGTGACCTACACAAGACTGTTCGTAAAATGAACCTATGGAAGTAAATAAAAGATATGATTCATGGACTGCATTCAAGTTGTGAAATGAAATGTAAGAACAAGGAATAATAAACTTGAATTCATTGACAGGACAAGAGATTTCCTTTTTGTTGCCGGAAGTAGAATAGTTTGGAAAATCTGGAAAGGCGAAAAAAATGGGTGCCCAAACTTTTTTTTTACTGCGATCTGATGCTTGTTGTTCTTCTTTTTGCCTTGTTTTCTGATGAAGGCTCTTAGCTGAAACGTCAGTTTTTTTGTCCTGTCAATGAAATCAAGTTTACCATACCCTGTTCTTGTATTTCATGGAAGTAAATATCTGGTTGTCTGCTTGGCCATAAGTAAATATCTTGTTGTCTGCTTGCCTAGAAGTAAATATCTGGTTGCCTGCTTAACTAGAAGTAAATATCTGGTTGCCTGCTTAACTAGAAGTAAATACCTGGTTGCCTGCTTGCCTAGAAGTAAATATCTGGTTGCCTGCTTGCCCATAAGTAAATATCTTGTTGTCTGCTTGCCTAGAAGTAAATATCTGGTTGCCTGCTTAACTAGAAGTAAACATCTGGTTGCCTGCTTGCCCATAAGTAAATATATGGTTGCCTGCTTGCCTAGAAGTAAATATCTGGTTGCCTGCTTGCCTAGAAGTAAATATCTGGTGTTCTGCGTGCCCGAAGTTGGTTGCCCAACAGTTCTAATTTGCCATTAAAATATCTAGCCAACTAATTCGTATCAATATGAAGAGAACTTTATTTTTCTCTCATTAAAACTTTTCAGATATACAGTCAATGATTTGCTATAAGGTTTTACCTGCTGCAATGTGTCACACATTAAATAGGAAAACTAGAAAGTGTTTACTGTTGAAACTTTTAACTCATGTAGAGTAGGAAGCCTGGCTTTTAATTATTTTTTTTTTTACAGCCTAACCGTTATTTTTAAATCGTGCGTATGCTTTTTCGTGAGTTTCATTATTATGTTCTCAATTTCCTCTCTTCCCCATTTTGCCGCGTACTCTCTTTAAATCAAATTCAAACCTCTACCATAAAGTGCGACACTTTCTCCCTGAAATCTTCCATGGCTCCTCACAAAATAGCTCAAAGGGCTGTCATGTGAGACCCTCCCGTCAAAATTACTAATTTACATTGAGGGGAAAATATTTAAAAACACACCTTTCTAAAAATGTTTTTAAAATTTTAAAATAAACGTCCAAAAAACTAGAAGTTTCTTACAGTCACTAAAAAAAAACGACCAGAAACACAATTTCTTTTTTTTTTTTCCAGCTCCATTGGAGATCAGGAAGCTGTTAAAAAAAATTGAGATTCAACAGTTGACCCACATAGGTTAATCAAGGGTCAGTGGTGGTCATTGCTGACCTACTGGTCGTGAAGGGTTGTATGGTCATAAGGGATGGGTAAGTGTAAAAAGATTCCAAAATTGTGTTACAAAGATTTTAGCCAGTCAAACAAACAGACAAAATAGCAAGCTAAATAAAAGAATGTAAAAAAAATAGCTGAGTGCATCAAATCCTGCTGGCGGTCACATCATAATCGATGTGTCCCATTCTACATCTCCCAGCTTGCCTGACCTTTACTAGCCTCTCCACCTTACACTGATCCCTAATTTACCGTCATGTACTTCATATTTATACCCGGACTTCATTATTTGCGAGGGGATACTTTAATCGATTTATGTTACAAAAGGTGTATATTGTTGTACATATTATCTCCATTAAATAAAGTAAGTGATAGACCATAATAAGGAAACAGCCAACTGTAGTGGGGAAAATAGTAGGTGGGAGAGGGTTAATAAATAGTAGAGGGGGTGGGTTAATGGTTTTATTGGTAGTCTCAAGTCATCTTTAAAATTTTGGAATTGACGTCACACAAATGTTTCGTCCTCTTTGAGATTTGACCATTTTGGAAAAAAACCTGTTTGATACCATGTACAGTTTACTGTGAGATGTTAAAATTATGTTGTACACTCGTTTGATACCATGTACAGTTTACTGTGAGATGTTAAAATTATGGTACACTCGTTTGATACCATGTACAGTTTACTGTGAGATGTTAAAATTATGGTGTACACTTGTTTGATACCATGCACAGTTTACTGTGAGATGTTAAAATTATGGTACACTTGTTTGATACCATGTACAGTTTACTGTGAGATGTTAAAATTATGGTACACTCGTTTGCTACCATGTACAGTTTACTGTGAGATGTTAAAATTATGGTACACTCGTTTGATACCATGTACAGTTTACTGTGAGATGTTAAAATTATGGTACATTCGTTTGATACCATGTACAGTTTACTGTGAGATGTTAAAATTATGGTACACTCGTTTGCTACCATGTACAGTTTACTGTGAGATGTTAAAATTATGGTGTACACTCGTTTCATACCATGTACAGTTTACTGTGAGATGTTAAAATTATGGTACACTCGTTTGCTACCATGTACAGTTTACTGTGAGATGTTAAAATTATGGTACACTCGTTTGCTACCATGTACAGTTTACTGTGAGATGTTAAAATTATGGTACACTCGTTTGATACCATGTACAGTTTACTGTGAGATGTTAAAATTATGGTACACTTGTTTGATACCATGTACAGTTTACTGTGAGATGTTAAAATTATGGTGTACACTCGTTTGATACCATGTACAGTTTACTGTGAGATGTTAAAATTATGGTGTACACTTGTTTGATACCATGTACAGTTTACTGTGAGATGTTAAAATTATGGTACACTTGTTTGATACCATGTACAGTTTACTGTGAGATGTTAAAATTATGGTGTACACTTGTTTGATACAATCTACTGTTTACTGCATGTCATCTTTTTTGTTACTTTTGTTCGTGGGAATTTTTTTCGTGTATGGTCGCGGCGAAAAGCTTGACCCGCTTCAGCAGGCAAACTAAAAACAGGGAAGTTTTTGGTAATGGTAAACCTTAGCAACTTGGTCTTAAAACCTATATATAAATAGTCTTGCTGTTAGCGTATCTTTCACAAAATTAAATACTTCTTGATCAAATGCTTTGCAAAAAACAACTGGTATTTAGAATGACAATGAACGCCAGTGACGTTATGTGCCTTAAGAAGTTTCTCCTAATGAATTTTCCCTTTCAGCCGTGCATGAATCTCCCAACCCACTT